TAGAGAGAGAGAGATTCTCCTTCCTTTTTTTTTTTTTTTTTTTTGAAGATCAATAAAACCCTATCTCTACCCCCAATCGAAAAGGAAGTTTCAATTAATCAACTAAATTGTTAAAAAATTTGTAACATTTGATTTCATAAGATTTAGTATTCTTGAGTATGAAATAAAAAATTGTTTGTTATATGAATCTAGTTATCTTGTAAATTGTTATATAGTTGGATTTGTGAATGTATGCATACTATGATCAGGCCAAGGCATTCCACTACGGCTCCATTAGCTTGATCGCGGAGCCATGCCGATCGGCCCATTTTCGAGCCCTGGACTTGGCTCGAGAAGCCGGTGCCATCCTCTCGTACGATCCGAACCTTCGGCTCGCGCTTTGGCCATCGGCTGAAGCAGCCAAGGAGGGGATGCTGAGTGTGTGGGATAGGGCTGATGTCATCAAGATCAGTGATGACGAGGTGCCATTCATTACCGGCAAGGACACGCTGGACGATGATGTGGCGATGTCTATGTGGCACCCTGGCCTCAAGCTCCTCATCATCACAATGGCTGAAAGGGGGTGCAAATACTACACCAAGGTACATCTCTCCCACTCTCGTCATTCTTTTTCCTATTTAATTAGACATCATATTTGCATTAAATACTTCTCTATTTGTTCTAGTATCTCTATATTATAGATGTTGGGGACAATAGTCCTCTCGCTCCCTCATCATATTGGAGATGGAGCTATTATTGTAGGGATTGTCCCTATTTATCTTTTGCGCATGGAGTTCACGATCATTTTTACTTATTAGATATGAAATTTGATAGGTTGGAGTGAATTACAAAGTTCGAGAATTTATTTTTTTTGAAACTTTGTATCTATTGGATGACATTTTTACAATTACCCATTTTGAGATTTAAAGGACAATAATGATTGTGATACAAAAGATAAATGTTGTGTGTAGACAATATGGTAGTCATATTTCCAGTTATATTAGAGAGATGGGGGCACAAAAGTAATGGTGATCGTTCATCTTTCTCATCAATCGTATTAGAGGATATAATATTCAACTATCATATTAGAGATGGGAGTTTTATATGGCCATACCTCTTAATCATACCAGAGGTAAGGGTTTAGTACTCTCTCTCTCTCTCTGGAAAAGAATGAATGCTTATTGATTACCACACACTCTTTCTCTCTCTCAACCTACTCAAACATTAGACCAGTGTATAAGAGTTTATTAAAACTGCTCCCGTGTTTTAATTGTTTCCTCTTTGGAAACTAAATTATTTCATGATGTATATATCCAAATTCTCTTAAAAGCAACAATTTTAACTTCTTTCTTCTTCTTTTTTCTTTTTTTTCTCTACAGGAATTCCATGGTACAGTGGATGGGATACTTGTGAACACTGTGGACACGACAGGTGCCGGTGATGCATTCGTCGGTGCAATGCTGTCTCAAATGGTCGACGATATGTCGATCCTCCATGTAAGCATATCTCCTATGCATTTATTAATGGAAAAATATACAAAGATACCATTTATTTTTTAGTATATGGAGATCACTATTTTTTTTTTTCCTTTAGATTTAAATTGGGTGTTTGTGTGTCATTGACTAAACTCAAAGCTTTTTCGAATTCCGTAGCACACCTCAAGACATCGAATTTAAAATCTAATTGCTAGAAGTGATTACAATCTCCTCATAACAATGATAAATAGTCTCGTAATACACAATAAACAAATAAGGTAAGTATACAAAAATATTCCAAATAATATTTTCCTTATTATTCTTTACCATATGAACTTCAAATCAAACTGGTGTTTAATAACAATCCAAGAAACTCTTTAACCCGTATTATGCAAAAAACAAGAAAAAAATATATTGTTATATTGTTCTTTCTCTCTGTTCTCGTTTTTTTTTTTTTTTTTCAAAAGAAGTGATGATATATTCGTTGTTGAATATAGGATGAGAAGAGGTTAAGAGAAGCTTTACAGTTTGCAAATGCATGTGGGGCAATCACTACAACAAAGAAAGGGGCCATTCCTGCTCTTCCAACTAAATCGGAGGCTCTCAGTCTTCTACAAGAGACAGATGCTGCTAACCATTAGTTTCTCAAATCTCGTCCTTTTCTCTCTCTCTCTCTCTCTCTCTGGCTATTTTATGAGTGTTTTTCTCTCACTCTCTCTGGCTATTTTGTGAGTGTGTTTCTTTCTCTCTCTGTGGCTATTTTATGAGTGTTTGTATGAAGGTGTAGCTCTCTCTCTCTCTCAAAGAATCTCTCTCCTATCCTTTCGTTAACTACAATCCAATCAAGTCTCTATCACTTATCTCTCTCTCAATAATCCAATAAGCACACACACTCTCTCTCTCTCTCTCAGATGATACAATCAAGTGAAGTCTCCCTCTCTCTCTCTCTCTCTCTCTCTCTCTCTCTCTCT